TTGTAAATATTGAAGTATTTCAGTTGTTTCGGCAGTTTTTATTGAAATTCGGAAATTCGGAAAATCGGGTTGGCCATTCGGAAAATTACGGCAATAATAATATAATAAAATTTTAGTTGTTAATTAAACAGAGAAAATATAATATAATTGTATTGTCAGTATAAACTGATTTACGAAATCATGGCATTTACGTGGATACCATTATTTAACTGAAATCGTAAATCGGTAAAAGTTTTTCGGTTTATTACTTCTCAGGGCCGAAGCAACCGTGAGCGGGGGGGGGGGCTTGGGGGGGCAGCCCTCCCAATAATTTGCTAATAACCATTCTTTTTTCAAAATCATGCAGACCTTTATCATTTAAATGGTATACCTTTAAAATAATGACAATAATGATTAATTTTAAGCAGTTACATTATCCATGACAAACTGCAAAGAATTGTATTATCCATACTTTCAACTTCCCCAATATATAGTTAATTAAATAGGCCTTCGCCCATTTAGTACTGAAGTAAATTGCAAGCAATTTGTAAATTCCGACATACTAAAACGCTGTTTTCTGACCATCAGAATTCTGTCAAAACTTTCCCAAGGTCCAGGAAATGGCATTTCAGAGACTCTAAATTTAAAAATTTCCTCGGGCCTTTGGCCCTCGTTCTCAATCCCCAATCAAAAAGAGATACCTACGGCACTGCATGCTTCTGTAATGCGTCTGTGCGTTAAATATGCGTATTTTTGTTTGTAAATTGCGTCTTCATTTTCCGGATAGCAAACACCTTTGTGGCTTCGTAGGCCATGAAATATTCGGAAATTTTTTTCGTCATTTGGAAATTTTTGGCCTACACCCCCAACTATACATGCTGGGCTACAGCCCTGCCCCCCCCCCTGTCGCCAACATTTTAGGTGCCCTTTTCATTCTAAAAGTGCCCCTTGAAACCGAGGCCCCCCCAACTTTTTTATGCTTCCTACGCCCCTGAGAATAGATCAGATCTCAGTTGCAGAAAATTTGATCTCAGTCAGATCATGAGCTCACTGTCAAAATAAGTTTCTCATACTGTATATAAAGAAATGACACAAGACATATTTCAAATATGAGAAGTTTGAAACAGAAACACAGATCCTCTATTAGAATTTGGGCCAATTTCCAACAGAATTAGAATACCAATTGGATTTTTTGTACAGTAAGAGGGGTTAATTAGAATAATTAATTATGTAGGAATTTCATGTTAGTTTACTGCCTATAGGCTTAGCAACACCTAAAGGCTTAGCGGTAAAGGCAAGTAATTACTGTATAGTGCAAAAGACCATGGCACATGTGGATAATTCACAATCGGGCGTGTACATTTGCCTCCGATTACGAATTATTGCCGAAAAAGGCTGCTTTCCAGTTAAGTGTAAAAACACATTAAATCATACACAGGTTTCTTACAAAACTTGAAAGTCTGTGAATGTCCTTGAATTTGAAAACAAAAATTAATTCGGACCCGCAGTAATTGGCTATTCGCTGTTGGGGTCACCCAGCCGTGGCCATGTACTGTATTTCATTATGTACGTTTGTTTTTGTCCTGTTATGTAATGTACTGTTTCATCAGCAAAGTTTATAAATTAAGCACTTGAAAGTCTTTGCCTTAGTTTATGGATATTTTCTGAAATTGTTTGACATTCAAAACGGACATTTTGTTGTCATTGAATTGATATTTCTATCCTTCCAAATTCTATTCTTCCAAATTTTATCCTTCTACTCAATTTGACAATTAGTTATTTCATAAGACATAAGTAAAATTAAAAAGGATTTTTTCCGTCCATACCACTGACCCAGAAATACTTAACCATACACACACTTGTGAAAAACTCTTAACTGGAAAACAGCCTTATTTTATTGCCAGACGCCAGTATTTTATATGCTTGTTCTTCAGCTATTGTTGATCTCCCAAGTTTCAACAAATCACAAACGTTATTAGGAAGTGTTTTTATCTTTATTCTTTAAAGGCAAAACGACTAGATCTTTCGTTAACTTTTTTTAACTTTTTAGCCCAGCTCATACTGCAAAAGTACTACAGGTGTATGTCACTTCACAATAATGTAATTAATTAATTTAATTCAAACAATTTAACAATGGTTCATTTCCCCCACCAGGTATGAGTTTACCAGAGGACTATCGCTGTTTCTTGCGTATACACAATGGTCAGAAAAACATCAATCGTCCAGGCGTGTTAGGATCAACACACATCGCTAATCATTTTAAGAGAGAAGCTATACTCAATGTAAAAGCAGCAACACTGAGTCTTGCACATATGCATGGAGGATTACGTGGATGTATACCCATCACATTATGTGTGATTAACACATGTGGACATTACATGGCCATTACCGAAGAGGCAGGTCACAAACATGGCCGTGTGTTTTGGCCTTCCCTTGATAATGAAACCATCAATCTTAATGGTGATGGCAGAATGAATTGTTTTATAATGGCAGATAATTTTACTCTGTGGTTTATATCCTATGCAGAGAGCCTGGTTAAAGAACATTATCCAGTTATAAGAGGTGAAATCTTTCCTTACAAATCTGCATCAGAACATACTGGTGATAATGACATTACAGTAAAGACGGCGACATGTTTCTTGCCAGAGCAGAGTAATGTTAACCCACCACATTTCTTCTTCACATACAGAATAACCATTTCAATGGATCAGTCTGTTCCCAAGGTGAGATACTAGAATTTATTGCATGTGTAATGTTTTGTCAATGGTTTGGATCGGTAATTACCATGCAACGGCTGCATTCATTGGTTGTTGTCCCACCTGAGCTACAACTGACAACTCAACAACATTTTTTTATTTAATAAACATATTTAGAATCATTTTCTCCAAGAACTAAAGCTCATCGAGGGAGATCATGACATATTAAAATTACTGTAGAGTACTGGCAATTTAAATAAAAAAGACACACAAATGAAAGAAGATAGTAAAGAAAAAGATAACAATAATAGATGGTTATGTTAGAGCTTAACAACAATTTATCCCAACTATCTGGCCATCATAAAACCACAATAATTGGCTACGAGCCTACGACCAGAAGAAAAACAAAACTTTTATTGAAAAATAATTTTCGACTGTAAGTTATTCAAAAATCGTTATTTTCTGACGAAGGCAGCTACATGCAGTCAAAAATTAATTTTAATTAAACATTTTGTTATATATGTATTATTGTACAACCAAGACAAAATTTCTATATTCCAGGACGGCAGTTGTAAACTAGAGACTCGTCATTGGTATATCACAGATGGTAATGGTGAAAAGGAGGAGGTTCATGGTGAGGCTGTTGTTGGTAGTTATCCCACGATGGTACCAGGTGGTAGACATGACTATGTTAGTTGTACCAGTTTTACGACACCTACAGGAACTATGGAAGGACATTATACTTTCAAATTTCTAAACAGGGAAGGAACAACCAACGCTAAAATTGCCCCGATGCATTTTAAAGCACCTCCCATTGAACTGGCGTCTGAGAGACAACGGAGACGAAATGCAAAATTGAATATCGCATCTTGCACCGACTCCGACTCTGATTGAACTGCAATTAGCAACAGCTTAAACATTGCGACTGTATAAGTCTTTATTTTTACGAAAACAGTGTTTTCGAATGTTGGACAACCGAATGAAGAATTTAAAACGTTAACCTGTTGTCCATTGCAAACGTATCGTAAATTGTAGCAGTCTGTGTTTCTTTATTTCGTGAGCAAAATTACAATACTTAGTAAGTCACTTTGGCTATAGAATCTCTTTAAGTGATTGAGACGTTGCGATTGAGAGGCTGTGATTAATGTCACATACACGAAAACGAGGCTCTTTAGCCAAAGTGACGTACTTTCTGGAAGGGTGTATTGAAGTGGAAAACCAACTCATATAAGTCTATTCCTCATAAGCCTATGGGAGGAAAATTCAGGGGAGCGGACACAAAATTGACCGACATCATGGGTTTATTGATAGTCATTTCATATGAATAAAAGGGAAATAGAAGGAACAGGTCTCATATACAGACGCGGAATGTTTTGTATGGAATAGACGCAAACACCACCGCCCCAACTACCAGCACGGTCGTTACGGTGGATGTTATAACCACTGATTGATATCAAGCTATCATCAATGTCCTTGTGTAGCCACGATTCTGTTATAGCCATGCACTAGGTCCATTGGGTTACCATCCAGAAGTACAGCAAATTCATCGATCTTGGTCAAAGCTTAGGAGTGTATGAGGCTAAAACCGACTAGTATAAATGAGTAGTAGTTTGCATAGGATTATTATGCCTCGCAGATATTAAATTATTAATATTCCGGCCGTTTCGCTTTGTTCTACGACTGCGGCGAGAAATTCTCACTGGTATTGCTAGGGCCATTATGAAATGGATTTCGCAAATAAATATGCCAATTAATCAATCAATGTTGTTCGATATTTTTTCATCTCATATTTCACTGAGGGCGGTTGTACGAAAACCGAATGGCGCAATCAATCAACGTCAGGAGAGATTGGAACATAATTATCGAAATGATGCATTCTCCAAAACAAGAAAAAGACCGTTTTAAAACAACCTGCATGTAACAACAAATATTTTATTGGTTTGGACAAGAAAAATTACACAACATTTGCTAACAGATGAATAATCAACTGTTAAGAGCGAAGGTCCACTAATATCGAGCATCAGCCGGTCACGCTCAAAGTTTCGATTTTGCTCATTTTTGGTTTGCAGGAAGGCATTACCAAGTAAACAAACGTAATGTAGTTTGTTTTTCAAAAAACCGCTAAAATTCTGAGAAATCCGAGAAAAACGATTCAACTGTCGGCGGCCTAAAAAATATGCAAATTTTCAATTGAATCGAACAGGTTAAAAAACAACTAACGCATGCAGAATTGGAAAAGATTTGAAAACTGTACGTTTGTAAATCGATGGAAGAGATGTAGCTAAAATTACAATCTACCGTTGCCACGCCAAAACCATTTTAACTAAGTGCCCCAGATTTTTTCTTCACGAAACGTACGCCATTAACTAATCAAATGTTCTTCTAGAACATATAAAAAAATTAGTTTGGGTTATTGTATTTAGAGTTCGTACGGAGGCCGTGAATATTGGGTATTTTCGCATATAGCGTGACTGAAATCGACAAATGTTTTGTTCCTTCCGGAAGTTCCGGTTGCTATTTTCTCATATTAAATGGTTGTTATTTTCATCGGGAATTAAAGCCGAAAATACATTTCCTTAAAAATGGCTATTATTAGCAATTTACATGGTTTTAGCAGTCACAGCAATAAGACTAAGTAGATAGTGCTATGACCGAGATAATTTCTGTACATTTTATACCGATTACATGGAGAGTTTTCAGCCTGGGCTGAATTTCAGCCCGGTAAACCGAGCCGAAGTAGCATCACGATTACATGGGCAGTTTGAACCTGGGCTGAGTTTTAGTCAGAGCAATATTTATTCCTTGTATAGTATTAAAACAAACCCGGGATGAAATGTCATCCCGGCCTGAAATCATACGATATCACGAAAGGCAATATTCCGCTTGTTTGAGCATTTAAAACGCCGATTAGTCGACTATTTGACTTGTGTAAGACTGTGGTTGCATATAAAATATGAAAGATAAGACGAAATGCAAAATAAAGCCATTTAAACGATTGTTTTTTTTTACCCTGGGCTGAAATTATTTGCAATTACATGGGATATTTCATCCCGGTTGACAGGGCTGAAAATCTCATCCTGGGTGACATAAACCGGATGAAAATTTCAACCCGGCCTGAATTTCAGCCCTGTCAACCGGGATGAAATATCCCATGTAATCGCAAATAATTTCAGCCCGGGCTAAAAAACAATCGTTTAAGTGGCTTTATTTTGCATTTCGTTTACACTTCGAAATTTTTTCCATATAATCGTAAAATTCATATTATATTGAATTTATAGGGGCCCGGGCTGAAATTTCATCCCTGTTTGCCAGGCTGAAATTTCATCCCGGGCTGAAAACCTCCACGTAATCGGCCCCTTACTTTAACTAAAGACAAAACTTAGCACATTTTCACTAAGCTATAAAAGAAGGATGACTTCGAAATTATTTTCAGTTTTTTTTAATTGTTAGTTTGCATGTGGTTTGGCTGAACATGCTCAGAGGACAGAGACAGAGAAATTGTAATAAAATTCAGAGGTGGTTAAAACTGAAACTTTCTGCTCAGTTTTATGGCCTTTTTCTCATTACATATTTCAGTTTGTTGGGTTTGTTTTTGCTATATTGCAGCTTGAAATCCTAAACACTTTTGTGGTGAAAAGTAAACTATCAGGTAAGAGCGCCGGTTTGTCTTGAGACAGCGATCGGGCGATGTAATTAACGTGTAAATTTCGTATCTGGAAAGTTTGATACTGCATGTCTAAAAATAGATTTTGCCAAGGTCTGGCCACAGAATAAAGATCAGTACCAGAAGGGCCACTCAGCGGTGCAACGTGTCGCCATTTTTCTATGCAAAAATATGCAGTTGACTGGCCAGAAGGCGGGGCCTTCAGCCAATACAGCGCGTTTATTGGCCAGAAAATGGAATCGACTGGCTAGGAAGATGGCGGCCAGGGTGACATAAACTTCAAAGCTTCCGACGTAAGTGGCCCTTCTGTGTGCCTTATTCTGTGGTCTGGCCGTCATGGATATAAAGTGCTCCTTTTTCGCAATAGTTGGTGGTCATTGTGGCCATGATACTAGAGTTAAAAACAAATCATCAGAATGCGTTCAGTTGTTAAGTTGTAATCATGATATTACAGGGAATAAATCGGAAAACATTGAGCAATTCGTAATATAATAGTTTTGTTTGTGGAAACACCACGTAAATTTATATACTGCAAAGCTTTCGATCCGTAAGCCCGGATCTTCATCAGTGCACATATTATTAGCACTGATGAAGATCCGGGCTTACGGATCGAAAGCTTTGCAGTAATAAACAGTGTGGCCAGATGTTTGTCAGCGGATTTTACTAAACCTTTGCTAACATTTTACTAAATAGGCCAAAATTTTACCAGATTTGGATTTTACCCATCCCACTCCTGGGGGGAGGGGGGGGGGGTTTGATGGACAGTATTGGATACTATCCATTAAATCCATATTTTTAAATGTAAGTTTGCAATTTCGAAATGAAATTCGTCATATGCCCAATTTTTAGCTGCGCGTGCTACTTCATGTTATTCGTTCAAAAGAGGCGACAAATTAAATGACGTACCTGAAGCATGCAATGAGCAAACAGAACACAGGCTCCGATTCAGAAGTGAGCCATCGCCACAGCATCAGGAAGGCATGTACTTTGCAGGGTTTTCTGGTCATCGTCAAACGTTTTAATAGAATTTTACCAAAAAAGTTACCAAATCTTGAATTTTAAGAAATTTTACCAAAATTTTACTAAAAAATCTTTTTTACCAAATTTCTATCAAAATTGTCGAAATTTTACCAAAAGTAAAAAAATATACTGAATATGGTCACACTGGTAATAAATTTATGTGGTGTTTCCACAAACAAAACTATTATATTTTTCGCCATGCAAACATACAAAGAAGTTATTAATACGTAATATATCCTGCACATCGATCTACTCTTGGAGCAGGGTGGAAACAGGTAGAAAACGAGAAATGCATAATTCCTGTGATTCTATCAAATATTTCTTTACCACTATTTCCATTGTTACTAGAAACGAGATGATAGAGACAACAGTCACGACAGGGAAATCGGGCAAAACACTGCCAAACAAATGTACTTCATTGACTTTGATTGGCAGCAATAAAAATAGTGTTAATGGATTTGCACGCAAATATTCCTAATTTTAAAAACTGCACTAATTTTGCGAGATATAAACAGAACCAAAAATATTGTGATTGTTCTATCAGGAGAGTAAATTTAATCGTACAGTACGGTGGCGCGCGTCGCCAATCGTGTCAGTTCTACTTGCTTCACCTGATGTTAGCTTCTTTAGAGACACTTCCTAAAAATGCTGTAACTGCTAAAACGCTGTGAGTTGCTAATAAAGGGTGCCTTTCTTTTTTAACGGCATCACATTTCTACACAAAACTCTCGCTTAGTCTTCTGATGCACTTGTAGTTTCGGGTTTAAATTCCGAATGAAAATATAAACGAATGAGAAAATAGCGACCGGAAGGAACAAACACTTGTCGATTTCAGTCACGCTATATGTCGAAAATACCGAATATTCACGGCCGCCGTACGAACTCTAAATAGAATAACCCAAACTAATTTTTTTATATGTTCTAGAAGAACATATAATTAGTTAATGACGTAAGTTTCGTGAGGAAAAAATCTGGGGCACTTAGTTAAAATGTTTTTTGCGTGGCAACGGTACATCGTAATTTTCGCTATTTGTGAATACCATACGATTCTAAATATCAGCTGTCAGGTTTTAATTAATAGCTAAAATTATTATTTTATGCCAAATCAAGTCTCAAACATCTCTTCTATCGACTTACAAACGTATAGTTTTCACATCTTTTTCCTACTTTGCGTGCGTTACTTGTTTTTGAACCTGTTTGATTCAACTGGAAATTTGCATATTTTTGAGGTCGCCGACAGCCGAACGGTTTTTCTCGGATTTCTCAGAATTTTAACGGTTTTTGAAAAACAAACCATATCACGTTTGTTTACTTGCTAATACCTTCCAGCAAACCAAAAATGAGCAAAATCGAAATTTTGAATGTGTCCGCGAATTCTCGATTTTGCTCCATTTTAGTGGACATCTGCTCTTAAAACTCAAATGTGCAGTCACCAAATTAACAAAAATATAACCTCAAAACAGTCTTCTCGTTTACTCGTTTTACTTGTGGATGCTCCAGATGCCAGAAATTACATACATGTCCAATACTCCCGCATTTCACGACTCGTTACAAGTTGTCACAAGTCGTGAAATCCATCGCAAGGTACAAGTTGATATAACTCGTCACTACTTCACGACTCGTTACAAGTTGTCACGAGTCGTGAAATCCATCGCAAGATACAAGTCGATATAACTCGTCACGAATTTCGTCACGAGTCGTAAAAACGCAAAAATAGTACCGGGTATCATCTCTTCTGAATTTACGAACTTGCTTACATGAAGTTTGCACTGCCTACTGCCTAGTCTTCATATGATGTTGTGCTGATGTGGTTCACGAATTTCGTGACGAGTCGTAAAAAGGCAAAAATAGTATCGGGTCTCATATCTTCTGAATTTACCTTCCCTGTAAGCCCTGCCGTAATATATATTCATGCCTGTTCTTCAAAAATGCAGTCTACAAGTATACTTCGGCATTTTTTACTTCCTTGAATTTGGTATCTTTATATAAAGTCATATCAGTGGATATTCTATACGATTGTATAGAATATTCATGCATCATACGATATCTATATATTGTGATCATGCCTCGTTCTTCAAAAACCACTCTGCAAGTATACTTTGGCATTGAGCGATTGCGCGTATACAATTTGGCATTGCTAGCTTCACTGAAGCTTGTATATATATTTATATTTACCGACGAGTCGTAAAAAGGCAAAAATAGTATCGGGTATCATATCTTCTGAATTTACCTTTCCTGTAAGCCCTGCCGTGAATATATTCATGCCT